TTCTTGGCAGTGGGAACCGCTCATCTTGATGATGACAATAACCCCTGACATTCACATGGATTTGTAAAGCTATCAAGAGCTTACCCAGATGCTTTTCCACTTCCTCCTCCAAGTCCTGAGGAGACGCGGGAGCCCGGAACTCTGTCCCGCATGGGTTTGAGGCCACATTCGGCAAGCTTACCCACTGCTTATCCACCCCTTGCCGTGTGACTTCTGGCCAGTGCAGTGCCTCTCTGATCTCTGGGAGGGGTGGGTAGCTCAGCTTCCAGGAGTGTCAGTGCAGCCCCAGATCAAGGAATCACTGCTCAGCAGACAAATGGCCTGAGGTCCTGGGCTGATGGCCAGTATTCCTGGGCCTGGCAAGACCACACCTGCTTCCCTCGTGACTAACCCACCTGCCTGGGGCCCCAGCCCAGGCCCCTCAGCCGTATTATGGCTTAGAACCAACATTAAAAGAAGCCAAAGTTGAGATTGTTCTACAAAGTCGTGCATTCATTCAACAAACATGAGATAGAGGCAATACAGCATCTACTAAAGGAGCTCACACTTCAAGTGGGAAGACAGTGGCTTCAGTTAGAACAAGGGGCTTTGCAGGTACCGTCAGGGACAGTCACAGCAGAGGAACTGAAGCCACACTATGAAGGAGGTGGAGGAACTAACTAGAAGGAAGGAGTCTCAGGGAGAAGGAACAGCACATGCAAAGGCCCCCAACCTGGAAAAGGTACCAAGAACTCAGAACTGGAGCAGAGAGAAAGAAGCAAGAGAGGCTGGCCTTTTCCAAGACTTCCCACATTAGAAGGCAAAGCTGGGAGGGACTTGGTCATGAGGTCATTCATTCATTCACCCTCTTGGTCATTCAACAGTTCCTGCTTGTACTCCCTGCCAGACCCGACTGGGAACTGGAGACAGGGAAATAAACAAACATGTGAGACAGGTGAGGGAAGCCCGGGGGTCATGGGCGGAGCCAGTGGGAAAGGCATTAGGGAAGACTGCTTGGAGGAGGGGGCTCCAAGTAATCTAGAAAATGCCTCCTTGTACTTCTAAACTGAGCTCAGGTATCAAGGGCAATATTGATCCCAAAGTTCTCCCTGCTGTCAAGGGTGAGGAAAGTCCAGATTTCTCTGGTAAGCTGGATATTCTCATTCATTCATTCATTCTCCCAGGTGGAAAGACAGGTAGAGGTAACTCAGACCCAGCCCAGCATTCACCTGTCTCCATGCTGCTGAAAAGGAGACAGGTGAGCATAAACAAATGCAAATTGGTGACCAGGGTGATAGAAGGTGGACACCCAGTGCTAGCTGGTCACAGAATCAGTTGGAGCCTTGAAATGAACAGATTGCCAGGCCCCATCTTGGGTCATTGACTCTGCCTCTCAGAGTCAGGGCAGAGAATCTGGATCCTAAAACCCCTTGGAGGTTGGAGAGGACTCAGCCGGGCACTAGCCTGCCAACTGTCATTTCAGAACCCACCACGCCGGGAGCCCTGAGCCCCCGAGTGGCTGAGCTGATCTGATGGCAGGCAGGACCAGCTCCTGATGACTTCAGGTCTTATTTTAGCCTCTGGTGTGTCCCCTGGAGGCCCAACAGGAGGAGGTTGGATATTTTACAAGGGGGATTTGCACGGGTATTTTCAGTCCGGATGGAGGGTCAGGCTGGTCCTAGCTGGCCAGTTCTGCAAGAAGAGAAACCAGGTGCTGAAATCGAATACGACTCCCCACCCTTCACCCTCTCTGGAGAAGCTGGTCCCCCTAAGCCTGGGGTGGGAGCTTTCCAGTAAGCGATGGACCAGAAGAACCCATGTGGGATGGGTCAGACCTGTCACTTGGGGGTTCCAAATGACTTGAGACTCCTTGGTTGCAAAAGAATGGGGAGGCAGGTGACATCATCCCCATTTCACAGATGCAGAAACTGAGGCTTGGAGAGTCCAAGGCCAGCATCTTAGGCACACTCAACCCCAAATCCTGTGACAATGAACTAGATTTTTCCTTAAAAGGCAGCATTGGTGCCTAACAAACATCACTCCAAGCTGGTGATTAATAATAATTGTGACAGCCAGAGTTTACATGGCTTTGTTCTAAGCACTGAGTACATTTTGTTACTACCTTCTTTTCATCCTCGAAAAAGCAAGAGAGTTCCAGAAAAACATCTATTTCTGCTTTATTGACTATGCCAAAGCCTTCGGATGTGTGGATCACAATAAACTGTGCAAAATTCTGAAAGAGATGGGAATACCAGACCACCTGACCCGCCTCTTGAGACACCTGTATGCAGGTCAGGAAGCAATAGTTAGAACTGGACATGGAACAACAGACTGGTTCCCAATAGGAAAAGGAATACGTCAAGGCTGTATATTGTCACTCTGCTTATTTAACTTATATGCAGAGTATGTCATGAGAAACGCTGGGCTGGAGGAAGCACAAGCTGGAATCAAGATTGCTGGGAGAAATATCAATAACCTCAGATATGCAGATGATACCACCCTTATGGCAGAAAATGAAGAGGAACTAAAAAGCCTCTTGATGAAAGTGAAAGAGGAGAGTGAAAAAGTTGGCTTAAAGCTTAACATTCAGAAAACTAAGATCATGGCATCTGGTCCCATCAATTCATGGGAAATAGATGGGGAGACAGTGGAAACAGTGTCAGACTTTAATTTTTTGGGCTCCAAAATCACTGCAGATGGTGATTGCAGCCATGAAATTAAAAGACGCTTACTCCTTGGAAGGAAAGTTATGACCAACCTAGATACCATATTAAAAAGCAGAGACATTACTTTGCCAACAAAGGTCCATCTGGTCAAGGCTATGGTTTTTCCAGTGGTCATGTATGGATGTGAGAGTTGGACTGTGAAGAAAGCTGAGCGCCAAAGAATTGATGCTTTTGAACTGTGGTGTTGGAGAAGACTCTTGAGAGTCCCTTGGACTGCAAGGAGATCCAACCAGTCCATCCTAAAGGAGATCAGTCTGGGTGTTCATTGGAAGGACTGATGCTGAAGCTGAAACTCCAGTACTTTGGCCACCTCACGCGAAGAGTTGACTCATTGGAAAAGATCCTGATGCTGGGACGGATTGGGGGCAGGAGGAGAAGGGGATGACAGAGGATGAGATGGTTGGATGGCATCACCGACTCGATGGACATGGGTTTGAGTAAACTCAGGGAGTTGGTGATGGACAGGGAGGCCTGGAGTGCTGCGATTCATGGGGTCGCAAAGAGTCAGACATGACTGAGCGACTGAACTGAACTGAACTGAACCACCTACAAAGCAGGTACTGATAGGATGCCCATTTGATAGATGAAATAAAGCTGCCACCCAACTTGGAAGTCAGGCAGAGGGTCTACAGAGCCCTGAGTTTCCAGAGACCCTCTCCCTCCCCAGGCCACCTCCCCAAACCCTCCCAGCCCTCATGCCATCTCTGATGAGTCCTCGAGCGGAGACCCGAGAGTCAGTTAACAAGACACAAGACACACCGCGTCCTCCAGGCCTCGGTTATACCTGCCACATGGGAGCTGACAGTCTGGGGTTGATCGGTAAAACTGGAAGCCTGAGTTTGAATCCTAGCCTTTCTCTGGCCCGGCTGTTGTTCATTTAGAAAGGTCTCTGGCCTTGGGACGTCCCTAGCAGTCTCGTGATTAAGACTTCACCTTCCAATGCAGGGGTGCAGGTTCGATCCCTGATTGGGCAGGGGCTAAGGTCCCACATGCCCCGTGGCCAAAAAACTGAAACATAAAACAGAAGCAATATCGCAACACATTCAATAGACTTTAAAAAGGTCCACATCAAGAAAAAAGAAGAAGAGATAAAGATTTCTGGCCTTTCTGAGCCTGTTTCCCCTTCTGAGAAGTGGGAGAGTCTCTTCCCACCCAATCTACCCCCCAGCACAGAGGACTGGATCAAGCAAGTGGGAAAACACTTCCCAGGCTGCAGACCAGGAGGCTGAGCAGAGAGGGGCTGGGAGACACCCGAGGCCCTCAGCTGGGCGGGGACCACATAGGCCCTTACAAATCCATACGCCACTGTCAGAATGACAGTTAAGGGGGAGTCAAGGAAATGGCACCCCACTCCAATATTCTTGCCTGGGAAATTCCATGGACAGAGGAGCCTGGTGGGTTACAGTCCATGGGTTTGCAAGGAGTCAGACACTTCTGAGCAACCAACATACCCAGCCCATGGGTCTCAGGAGGACAGGGTGGGGAAGATGGGGATCAAGGAAGGGCCCCCAGAAGGCTGGGTGTTAGAAATTGCAGGGCTGGCATTTGCAGGAATGACCCAGAAGGGCACCTGGGTGGAGGAAGCCAGACAGGCAAAGGCCTGGGGGGACTTCCCTGGGGGTCCAGTGGTTAAGAATCCGCCTGCCAATGCAGAGGACACAGGTTCCGTCTCTGGCCCGGGAACAGATTTCACATGCTGTGGAGCAGCTAAGCCCCTGCTCCACAACTACTGAAGCCCTGGCTCTAAAGCACGAAATTCACAAGAGGAGCCACACAATGAGAAGCCTGTGCAGGGCATCAAAGAGTAGCCCCTGCTCCCGGCAACTAGGGAAAGCCCACGCACAGCAAGGAAGACCCAGCGCAGCCAAAAATAAACAAATAATTTAATTTTTTTTAATAAAGAAGGCATTAAAGAAGGGTGGGGGGTGGAGGGTGGAGGTTGGACCGCGGGGAGGGGCATGCATAGAGAACAGCAAGGCGTTTGGACGGCTGCAGCTAAGGATGTGTGGTCTGCAAATAGATGTGTGAAAGGTGGCTTTTCACCCGTGCCCGTGCGCGCGTGTGAGCCTGAGCGCGTTCTCTGTGCCCCAGATCCCCCAGCAGCGCTCCGGCATTTGTTTGCTCGGTTCCGGCCCTCCCCCGCCCCCCGCTGCCTCCTGGCTCCCCTGTTGGCCAGTCGGCTCTCTCTCCCTCTCCCGGGGGCTCCATGGGTCACTGAAACCGAAACAAGCGCCCGCTCTGATGGTTAAACCAGATGCCCAGACCTCGTCCCGTCTGGGCCCCATCCCGGGTCAGGAGGAGCCACGGAGCTGCTGGGGAGGCCCCGCCCCGGCAGCATCGGACCGTGGGGGGCCTCGGTCCCCAGAGGGACAGGGCCAGACGAGGGGAAACCCAATCCCCGACACATGGAGATCATTTGCAGGAGGGACCGAATCCGTGACCAGCGGAGGGGAAGGAACGTGAGGTGGGGGGTGGGTCGGCCGGGGAGCACGGGGCGGTGGGGGGGGGGGGGGTCGGTCAGTGAAAGAGGGGCCGGGGCCAGCTCTGGGCCAGCCCCAGACCAGGCTCCAAGGCTGGGAGCCCCAGGGCAAGGCTCCCACCCTCTCTGGGCCTCCATGTCCTCCTTGCAAAGACGGAGAGGACTGCAGGAGATAGCTCGCAGCCGTACCTGACCCTGTGCCCAGCACGCAGTCAGCCCCCAGCAAACGGGGTTGATACGGAGCTGAGGCCCAGAGAGGTTGTGTGACTCGCCAAAGGGCACATGGCGAGTCAGCACAGGAGGGCGCTGGAATCACTCGCCTCTGGGGAAATGATAGGTCCGCAGGGAGGGCTCAGAGGTGGCGGCCGGCCACTGTTTGCCACCCTGGGCACAGTTTGAGTGGCCTTTGTCTCCTGGGCAGCCCTTCCTTCTACCTGTCTCACTGGGAGTCCGGGGGCCACCCCCCCGCCCCAGAATGGCTCCCACCCATTTCGTTTGGCTTTTCATCCACATAGGACACAATTCACCCACTGGAAGTGTAAACTCAAGTTTGGGTATATTATATGATTAATTTTTTCATTGTAAAATATATATAGTGTTAAGTTCACCACTTAAAACCATTTTAAGTGAACAATTCAGTAATATTAAGTACATTCACAATGTCATAATCTTGTGCAACCATCACCACTAATTCTAAAATGTTTTCAGCACCCCAAACAGTAACTCTGTTCCCATCAAGCAATGAGCCCCCACCCCTCCTCCGCACAGCCCCTGTTAACGTCTACCCTCTCCCTATGGATGAGCACATCTAAGTGGAAGCACACGGTATTTGTCCTCCTGTGGCTGGCTTCTTTCACTTTGGGTTTTCCGTGTTCATCCACGTGGTCGCCTGTGTCAGTATTTCATTCCTTTTGAGGGCTGAATCAAACTCCGTTGGAAGAGCAGACCATCTTGTGCTGTTTTCATCTGTGATGGGCACTTGGTCTATTTCCGCCTCTTGGCTCCTGTGAATAATGCTGCTGTGAATGTGAATGAACCCTGCTGGAGTCTCTGTTTATGAGTCCTTTGGGTGAGAGTACCCAGGAGAGGAATTGCAGGGTCATAGGGTGACACCATGTTCACTTTTGAGGACCCACCAAACTCTGGCTGCACCAGGAGCCCGCAGACCCCTGGCTTGGAGTCCAGCCCATACAAAGACGGGGGGACTGGGGCCCAGAGCTGGTCACCTCTCGCCTGGACCTCCCAGGAGACTCCTTGCTGCCCCTGCCTCTGCCTCAGCTCCTCCTGCCTGAGAGATCCTCTCCAAACTCTCGGAGCCCACGAGTGGCTCCCCATGGCTCTCTGGATAAAATCCTCGGATGTGGTGCCTTTCATGGAGCCCTCCTGACTCCAGGCTGGGTGGAGTTCCCCCCTCAGTGTCCCACCTTTGCATCTACACCCACCACAGCACTGATCAGGTGCCCTGGGCTTCCTGCTGACTCACCTGTCCATGTCTCCTCATGGTCCTGAGTGTGGGAGGTGCTCAGTAAAGAAGTATATTTCACAGATGAAGAAAGGGGACTCAGAGTAAGAAATTAACCTGCCTGAGGACACCGAGCTGGGAAGCGAGGGAAACCTGAAACAGGTTAACTTCTAATTCAAGAAGATAGCAGGCGTCAAGTGCCTGGCACATAACTGGTGTTCAAAACATTTTAAGTGCCAGTTTCCTTCCCATCCCTTGCCTTGGGAGCCTAAATGCCCCTGGGTCCAACCCAAGTGTATGTCAGTCGCTCAATCGTGTCCGACTCTTTGCGACCCCAAGGACTGTAGCCCACCAGGCTCCTCTGTCCATGGACTTCTCTAGGCAAGAATACTGGAGTGGGTAACCAGTCCCTTCTCCAGGGGATATTCCTGACCCAGGGATTGAACCCAGGTATCCTGCACTGCAAGCATATTCTTTACTGTCTAAGACACCAGGGAAGCCCAGGTCAAGCCCAGGCCCTCCCTGTAACTCACTATGTGACCTCGAGCAAGGCTGTTGCCCTCTCTGAGCCTCAGTTTCCCATCTGTGATCTGGGGGCTGGAATTTGAGGCTTCTCCAGCTGCCACCACCCCCCTACCTCCAAGCAGATTCCTAACAGCTCAGCTGGACCCCCTCGCCGACCCCTCCTGCCCACAGGTAATTAGAGGAACACAGTGGGGGTCGAGGGCAGGGGGAAGCCCCAGCAGGCAGCTCCTTCCTCTGAAAGGGGCCCCTCAACACTGCCGGCCCAGCCCCCGCTGCGAGAACAAAAGGCCTTGTGGACGTTCAAAGCAAGGAACCGGGCGGGAGGCCAGCGTGGGCGGCCGCAGAGATGGCCACGGGGCTCGTGGCGGGGATGGCCGGCAACTGGAAGCTGTCCCCATCCATCAGTCAGCGGTGACAGCTCCCGGGGCCCCGCGGCCCCCTGCAGCCCAGCCAGCTGACTATCCCGGCTACACGGGCCACCCGGCCCCCTCCCGCCCGGTGGCTCCAGCCTGATGACCTGAATAATGGAGCCGCCTCGAGCGTCCCGCCACGGTGACAGACACATCTCTGATCCAGGCCTCTCACTCTGCCACTGAGCGTTACCGTCTCAGCCACAGCCCCGGCCACCAGCCCCTCGTGTGGAGAGAGAGATGTGACATTCCGACGGGGCTGTGGGCTGGTGTGGCCAGGGGCCTGGGAGTCCAGGAGATGACCGGAGCTTGGCCTTGCTTGATGCCAGCCCCCTGTGTGACCCTGGGCAAGTCTTGTTCCCTCTCGGGGGGCCTCAGTTTCCCCTTTTGTGAAATGAAGGTGTCACATCCCAGCTTCAGTGGGTGAATTCTGTGGTGCTCAAGGGTTTGGGGAGACAAGTGAAACTGAAGACCATCCACTCACTTTTCCGAAATGAGATCATCATTGTAAAACACTCAGCCCAGGGCCTGGCCTGAATCTTACAGACACAGACCATCAGCCAAATGACTAGTTAATACCTGGGAAGGAAAAAGAGTGAAGAGTCCAGAAGGGTCCTGAGAGGCAGGGTTGGAGATGAGCCTGGAAGTGCATTCTGGGCAGAGGGAACAGCCGGTGTGGCTGCTCAGAGCTAGGATCAAGCTTGGGGCGGGGGGTGTTTGAGGGATATGGTAGAGGGGGATGATGGAGGGAGGCAGACCAGGCCATGCAAAGGGGTTGGGTTTGCTGCGTGTCTCTGGGAGGCTGTTGGCCTCTCTGGTCTCCACACTCTGTCTGTTCCATGAGCTCCACGCCGGGATCTGCCACGTGGAGTATGAGGAAGAAAAGAGACAACGGGCTATAGGGCTCAGAACGGCCTTGCGTGAAATAAACACTCAGGACCTGGAAGCTATTTTGTATCATAGTCATCCTCGCCATTGTGCAGCACGCTGAGCGCTTTGACAGGTCGCATCGGCTTTCTGTCGCCAGGTGCTTATCTTTGAGAGAACACTGGAGGCCAGGGATGTCGACGGGTACGAGAAAGTTCCTGCAGCTTGGGTGGTAAGAGGAAGGGGAGAAAAAAAAATTGGAAAACAACCTAAATGTCCATCAGCAGGAGGATGACTCAATGAATAGTGACATTTTCATACCGTGGACGAGTCTATCGCAGTGACAGTGTGGCAACTGGAGCGTCACGTATCAACAAGGATCAGTCTCAAACGAGGATGTCGAGCCAAAAAAGCAATCACGGAAAATACATATGGGATGCTTGCATTTAGAGAAAGTTTTGTAACATGACAAGCTGCGCAGCAGACCACGTGTGGATTTGCACGTAGGTGGTGGAGGATAAAACGGGGTGGGGGAGTGATCAAACAGACTCAGGGGAGCAGTTCTCCTGCGTGGGGGGTAGGGGGCAGCCCTGGGGGACTGGCCAAACCCCAAGGCTCCCTTCCAGCATCCTCTGCTGTATTTTTATGATTATCTGACGTGGTATGTATTGTAACCTTTTTTGTTTATCATTAGTGTTCCTTACTAGAATGTAAGCTCCATGAGGCCAGGGATCTTGGCCTGATTGGGTCTGTGCTGCGTCCCCAGAGCCTAGAATGGTGCCTGGAATATAGGCTCTCTGTAAATGTGTATTGAATGGGAAGGAGGGAGGGAGAGGAGGAAGGAGGGAGGGAAGGAGGGAGGTAAGAAAAGAAGCACAAGAAGGAATAAATTAATTAGCATTGCAGAGAGAAACACAAGGCCTTCCTTACACAAGACTCCCCTGGTGGCTCAGACAGTGAAGAATTTGCCTGCAGTGCAGGAGACCGGGATTTGATCCCTGAGTCAGGAAGATTCCCTGGAGAAGGGCATGGCTACCCACTCGAGTATTCTTGCCTGGGAAATCCCTCGGCAGAGTAGCCTGATGGGCTATAGTCCATGGGGTTGCAAAGAGTGGGACATGACTGAGCTACTAACACACACACAACAACAACTTCCTTACGCAAAGGAAAACATCAGGACCCCAGGGGAAATCAGAGGGTGGCTTGAGAAAATGGAGGAGGACCACCCCCTCTACTACCTCTGCCTTCGAGGGTTCCAGCCGCCCCACCCCGTGGCTCGGGGGCCCCCATGAACCCGACATTCTCCCTGGAGCTGGTGGGACAGGAGCCTATGCTTTGAGGTGAGCCCTCTCTCTCCTCTGTTGGGAAAGTAGATAGGAGACGGGGTCCACTGGGCCACAGGGAGTCTGCCTGCCTGGTGTAGAAGAGGTTTGTCATCTCCGAGTCAGGGTGGCCCAAGAAATACAGATGGCCTGAATGACCATGTTCTTTGCCACCATGGCCTCCCCCGATGGCCTGAGGTCAAGATCTCCCACCAGACTTAAACCCGCCAAGCCAGACACCCTGTGCTCCAAGCCCAGGTCCCCAGGGCCCCACCCTCTAAAAATTTTTACCAGGTGCATCCGATTTTCTCCATCCCCGGTCCCCCTCTCTTCCAGATCCCACTGCGGCCTCCTGGCTCATCTCCCTAAGACCCCCTCTGACCCCTCCCAGCCCTCTGCTCACAGTTGACCAGGTCCCCTCTCCTAGCCCTGCCTCCATGGCCCCCACAGAACTCAGGACACAGTCTCTGCCACAGCCAGAGGCCCTGCCTGCAGCTCCCCAGAGTCACCCCCGCCACTCCCACCCACACTCTGCTCCAGCCGCTTCCCCCGAGGTCCCCTCCCACTTTGTACACACCGGCTCCTTCTCTCCTTTCCCCGACCCCGATACCCCCCACCCAACTCCAGGCCACCAACACCGAACGTTCCTCCTTCTCCTTCAGTAACTCAGCTTATAAGCACATGCCCCACCACCTCCATCAGGAAGCCTTCCTAGACTTCCCAGCATAGGTGAAGGCCCTCTTTGGGACTCTGCCAGCACCCTGGGTTTCCTGTTGCACTCGGCAGAGTGAGCTGCAGTGGGGCAGAAACCATGCTCTGTACCTCACTGCACCCTCAGTACTGGCCCCGGGAAAGGCACTGGTTACATACCTGCTGAATGAATGAATGAATGGATGAATGAGTGGATGAATGAACAAATGAACAAACCACATCTGTCACACCTGGATTTAAGCCTCAGGATCCTTTGGAAGGTCTAGATGCTGGGATTCAAAGCCATCTGAACTCGAGGCCTCCGGGGGGTCTGCCTGGCCCCACAGCCCCTACTTGCAGGGAATAAAGACATAAGGAGTTTATCGCCTGTTCCGAGCACTTGTCCAACCCCACCTGTAATTCCCCCGCCAAGTAAAGTGAGCATGATATAGCTGATAAAACTGCTTTAAAATTCCCCTTGGCCCGATTTCCCTACAGGAAAATGGTTGGAACCCTAAATCTTGATGGGCATGAAATACAGCAGGCAGTGGGCAAGAGCCGTGCTGCTGGGAGGAACCAGGGAGCAGGGAGCTGAAGCCTCATAAATTGCCTGGAGCTGCTGCCCTAGAGGCTCAGCCCAGAGGAGGCTTCCTGAGCCGCTCCCATGGTGGAGGTCGGCCGGGCGGGGGCAGGGTGGGTGGGGGGAGGCGGACCCTTCCCCAAGCAGCATGGAAGACTGTCCAGATGTGATAGGCACGAAACATTTCTGGCGGGGGCGGGGCGGGGGGAGAAGTTACAAACCCTCTTAAGCCTTCAGCCCCTCTGAAGCACCTTCTTTAATTAATCCCTACAACAGCCCCAGGAGGAAAGTGGCTCCATCATGCCTGTTTCCAGATTTGAGGCTCAGAGAGTTTCAGTGACCTTGCCCCACGTCGCACAGCTGAACAGGGCAGAAGAGGCAGACAGAGGCCAGGCCTAAGAGTGGTCTGGTAAGGGGAGAGGATGTTTAAACCGTAACTTCCTCCTTTCCACCCTCTCTGTATCCTTACAACTTCCTGTCTTTGGCAGCTCACACCACCCTTCGCAACAAAGTGGGTGCAGACCTCCAGAGATCTCAGGGAGGAGCAGGGTTCTCCTGACAGCGTTTTCTTCCCACTGTGTTTATTTTTGAAGACACCTTCTGTTGGCAGCCACTGATATCAGTTGCCTGGCATGTTCCGCGAGATAAAGCTTCCCTTTTAAAAAATCTCTTTGTGTGTTTGAAGTGAGTCAACTTAAAGAAAATACGAGGTAAGCAATACAGGTGGTGATGAGTTATACCCCAAATCCACAGCCCTCACCTCCTCTCCTGCTGGGTCAGCTCCTTGCGTACTGTCACTGTCTCCCCCCTGGGGTAAAGTCCAGGAGGCAGGGATTGTTGCTGGCTTAGTTCATGGGCCTCTCCCGAGTGACCTAGTGCTCAGCACTCCGTAGATGCTCAATAAATGAACATGAAATGAAGGCAGTGGCGAGACAGGAGTGGGGTACTGAAAACTTGCACAGCCAGCCCCTTTCCCTGCAATTCTAAAATCCTCCGATCCTGATATTCTGCTGTTGTCCGGGATTTAATGGACTCAGATTTTAGAGTCCTAGGGTGCAGGGAACCCAGGATCTTGGCTCTGTGGCTCTCTGATGCCAGCCTTCTCTGTCCCTAAGGCCTTCGGTGGCTCAGATGTGTGTTCAGTTGCTCAGAGACTCTAAGAACGTGGATGGATGGAGGAGTGTAAGATGGAGACAGGTAGATGGATGGAAGGGTGGTGGGCAGTGAATGGACGGATGGGTGGATGGAAGGATGGGCAGATGGATGGGTGGATGGGTGAGTGAGCGAACGGAAGAACAAGGAGAGAGACAGGATAGTTTAATGGATGACTACTTGGCAAACCATTCATTTTCATGAAGAGTGCCTCTCCCCTCTTCCAAAAGCTTCCAATCATCCACCAGCTTCTTCATCCCCATCCTGTCCAAGACACGTCCCTTTAACATAACATCAAACTAATGACTGCAGGAAAGAATTGCAAGAAGATAAGAACGAAGCTTCAAATACTGGTGAGACCTGCCAGACGAGAGGAAACCAGCCCTGAGAACGGAAAGAGGAATGAACGGCTTAAGCATAGACTGAAGCAGGAGCTCAGTGGCACTCGGAGTATTTAAGGAGCAGAACTGAGAGCCGGGGGACTGGGGCTCT